GTGTCTCGGGGGGGGGGGATGCTGGCTGCAGACCTGGCAGCCTTCAGCATCCCCCACCGCATCAACGCCAGGGACGGGCACCCCTCTATCCATCCCCCCCGCCCCGCAGCCCCTCCTGCTAATTTATTAACTCTTCAGCTTTTACACAGCGTAGGCGGCAGGGAGCCGATCTCTGGCCACGACAGCCTCTTCAACGCCAGGATTTTGGTTTTGAGGGAGAAAAAAAAATATTAAATAAACGGCATTTTATCTAGAAAACAAGACCACCCTATAAGAACCAGACTGAAGTATCCAGGAGAAGTTTAACGGTGCTGGGGGACAGGCTGAAAGAGCATCTCCCAGTTTGGAGCTGGTCCTGTCCTGGAGGTCTGGGGTGTGAAACCAAAGGGAGGGACCGTGTCCCCGCTGGGAGAGGAGGAAGAGCCGGGGCAGGAGAAGCGCCCGGGCTGCCACGCTCACCTCCCGCTGCTCGCTGCAGATCTTGCAGAGCCAGATGGCGTGGGGCCGGCTGTTGGTGGTCTCCACCCCGCACTTGGTGCAGACGTTCTGCGGAGAAAGCAAAGCGCCAGGTGGCAGCGGAGGACGCCGCCGCCGCCACCACCCAAAGGTCCACCCCTGGGGAGCGCGAGGTTAACGAGAGATGGTTAACGAGAGCTCTCCCAGCCCAACCATCGGTGACAGCAGACACCCCCCGGGGACGTCCCCTTGCGGAGGGATGCTGCGCAACCCGAACGTGCGCCGAAAGAGCAAAGCGCCCATTTTTGCACCAAAGGGGAAAAAGCGTGGGTCTGGGAGGAAGGGGGGGGCTGTGCCCGACAGCGGGTCCCCGGGAGACCCCTCACCTTCTTGCAGTCCTCGCAGACGACGCAGGCGGATCCCCGCGGCCCCAACTGCTCCCCGCAGAGGATGCAACGGTTCACCCCGTCTCCCAGCACGCTACGGCGCATGTCCTCCAGCCGGGTCATGAGTCGCCTGGCAGAAAGGGGAGAGGGGCTGTCAGGAAAGGCGCAGCGCGGCCGGGACGCGGGGGGTCCCGCTCCCGAGGGGCGGCTGTGCTGCCTTTGGGCCAGCTGCTCCTTCTCCTGGTGCAGCTTCCCATGGAACCTCTCCTCTTCCAGCTCCGAGAACGCAACCAGGGGAAGAGACACATCCCAGGGGACGCGTCGGGGTATTATATTCCCCTATAGCTTTATATCGCACAACTATTAACTTCCACTGACAGTGCCAGAGAGCGGCTACTGGCTCCAGCTCTCTCATACACACACACGTAAAAGCCGCCCAGGTCAGCACCTTCGCACAAAGCGGTTTGGCATCAGTGAAGCAGCTTTTTCCACACACACACACACACACACAAACGGAAAACTTTCCACCCAGTCCCAGTGACCGCTCGCGGAAGAGCCGAGTGAGATCTCGGAAGGGCTCTGGCAGGAGGATTGAATGAATTAATTAGTTTTCTCATTTTCTACAAAAAAAAAAAAAAAAAAAATAATCACATATAATTTACTTTATGGAAATTCTCAGCCCTTTGAGTAAAATGCAAAAAACCCACAGGAAAACGGGTTATAAAAACACATCTGTTTACTGCAAAGGTAAAAAAAAAAAAAAAAAAGGCACAAAACAATTAAGCAACCTCTGAAATAAAAAAGAAACAGCACTGGCAAAAGCCGTTTGCAAAGCAGGCGCAGGAGCGAGCTGCCTGCCGAGCATCCGAGAGCTGGCGGCGACTTGCATGCTCAGTTAACCCAGAATCCCGGCCCTAAAAATAGCACTAGGAGGGGAAAAGGATGCATTATTTATGCCATTCAGCGAGGAAGGAGAAGGAACGAAAAAAGGGAGGAGGAGAGCCGAGCCCACCGGAGAGAGCAGCAGCCCCCCTCGCCCCCGGGGCCGCCATCCGCTCCCACGGCAGCCTGACCCAAATCTGACAAAGCCGCTAACGCGGCACGCCGTAAGAAAAAAACCACCCGACGTTTAAAAGACATTTTCCCACATGTCCGATGACAGCTTCAGATTGATGGCGCCTCGGCTGCCGGCACCTCCGAAGCGCTCAGAAACAATATATGAGCTCTCCTCTCCGTTGGGTGCCTCCGCAGTCGGTCTCCAGCCGCTCGCAGGACGGCCGGCGGCTCGTGGACAAGCAACGGTGTTATCGTACATGGGCGCTTGATAAAGGAAAAAGAGCCGGGGTGGGGGAGAAATACAGCATCGTGGGACATACAACCTATTCCTGTCCGTAAAATGCCCCGGTGGAAACTCGCTGCAGTCAACAGGAGCATCTCCAAGCGCTTCATCAGCCACTGGGTGAAGCCCATAGGGGGGATGCGGCGCCGGGACTCACGTTACGCGACCAAAGCCGCGTTATTACACCACCTCGTTTAGGCGGAAGACATCGGCTGTGCTAAAACCCCACTTGTCCCCACGCAGGGCCTGACCTCCCCGGGCTCAAGCACGCTCGGGGCTGCAGATGCCGAGGTGTCTCCTGATGGTTATTAATGAACCTGGAGCCCATTCCCAGCGAGCAGACAGGAGGGCTGGGGCCGGGGCCGGGCAGCCACCGGAGCCAGACGGAGCCAGCAGTCGGGAGAAATCACTATATTCACAGCTATGGTGTCACCAGACAGCAGATGGGCCAGCTTGCAAGTACCTTCAGTCTTCATCGCCTGAAGTTTTGGCAGCGACGTGACCACGGGCTCCCTAAATACAGCAGTTCTGGTTCTCAACCCGAGCTAATTTAGAATCATAGAATTGTCTAGGTTGGAAGAGACCCTTGGGATCATCGAGTCCAACCATCCACCCTACTCTACAAAGTTCTCCCCTACACCATATCCCCCAACACCACATCTAAACAGCTCTTAAACACCTCCAGGGATGGGGACTCAACCACATCCCTGGACAGCCTGTTCCAATGCACGACTGAGAAGAGACCAGCACCAACCTCTCTACAGTGTCCTTTCCAATAGTTGTAGAGAGTGATGAGGTCTCCCCTCAGCCTCCTCCTCCTCAAACTAAACAGTCCCAGCTCCTTCAACCGCTCTTCATATGATTTGTTTCCTGGGCCCTTCACCAGCTCCGTTGCCCTCCTCCACACTCGCTCCAGCACCTCCAGATCTCTCTTGCACTGAGGTGCCCAAAACTGGACACAACACTCGAGGTGTGGCCTCACCAGTGCCAAGTACAGGGGCACAATCACCTCCCTGCTTCTGCTGGCCACACTATTTCCAATACAAGCCAGGATGCCGTTGGCTTTCTTGGCCACCTGGGCACACTGCCAGCTTGTATTCAGCCGCTTGGCAATTAGAACCCCCAGGTCTCTTTCCGCTGGGCAGCTTTCCAGCCACGCTTCCCCAAGCCTGGAGCGCTGCATGGGGTTATCGTGGCCCGAGTGCAGGACCCGGCACTTGCCCTTCTTGAAACTCACGCCGTCGATGTTGGCCCAATGACCCAATCTAAGTCTCTCTGGAGAGCTTCCCTATCCTCCTTCCTAAAACACTTCTTATTCCAAAGCAATGAATCACAGCGCAGCTGTCGCCAGCCCACGTGCAACGCGGGGGTCCTCACAAAGTCCCCCCCAACCACCAGCGAATAACCACCAACGTTCAGCTCCCGTCGCAGCACATCGCTCCCACCCGGGCAGAGAAAACATTTTGGGGGCAAAACCTCTTTATTTTCCCGAGAAGCGAAGCACGCGTGCGAGCCCGTATCTGCCTCAATTCCCCCGCCCCGTGCTGCAGAGAGCTCTGCTCCAAGAGAAGCAGCTTCCAGCTGGAAATCTGCAAGCCCAAACAAACTTATTATAGAAACTAGAACAAATGGCACAATCAAAGGGGAAAAAAAAAAAAAGCGAGAAAAGAAAAAAAAAAAAAGCCTTTGCATTTCAAGAGATTCATTATTTAGCTGCAAAATCTTTCCCAGTCTCTCATTTACCAGAAGCGGCTCCTTAAGAGGGTTTCTTTCTTTTTGTTCAACCAGTGGGAGAGCTTTGGCAGTCGGTACACACACCTGTGGCACCAGTTTCAAGCGGAGCACATTTGCCTAATTAAAACACCCATTCAAGCTGGAGAAATTGGGCTTCCCCCCCGCCCCCCACTCCCCCACCCCCGATTCAAACGCTGCCAGGAGAGGACTGAATAAAACATTAAATTTTAAGTCCTGGCGTGGAACTGGCAGAGCGAAGGCAGCACCTGGGAAAAGGGGGTACCGCAGCGGGACCCACAGGGGGGGAAGCTCCCGATTAAGGTGATAACCGGGACGAAAAAGCCCAGATTTCTCTTCCATTCACCCAGCACCACCCTACACGCGTGCCAGAGCCCCACAGGTAGGCTGTCACCCCCCCCGATAACCTGAGGGATGCCCCGCTCTTGCCCAGGTAGCGGCCAGGAAGAAGCTTTCTGCCTTCCCCAAAGCTTTTCTCTCCCTCTCCTCCAGATACCGCTTTGTTTCTCGTTTTTATTGCACAGAAAACAGCCGTCCAATTCGTCGCTCGCCCCGGCACATCTCGAGGACTACGGCAACATCTTCCCTGCCATCACGCGCCCTTCAAAGCGCCCGTCCCTCCGGCCTCTGTAAGACTAACTTCAAAGAGCAGGAAATATGCTTCAAACTGTTAAAATAGGAGAAAAAAAAACCCAAAACAAACCACCTCAAGAGAGGAGTAATTGAAGCCGGTGGCAGGGAACTGGCTAAGCCCGGCACCCGGGAGCATCGCCGCTCCCGGAGACAGCCCTGCGGAGAGGGAGAGCATCCGTCATCCGCCAAAGAAATACGTATTAGTCACTGATGGGAGCGAGATATTGCGAACCGGGTGAGATGCTACATCCAAAATGCTTCACGGGCACCTGAGATAACAGCGATAAAACACGTCCCATGATAATATAATAGCTGCCTGGCCCCATAAATACGGTTTGGAAGAGATAGGCGAGCAGCTGTGGGGCAGTGAGGGTTGGTGAGTCCCATAAATATGGTTTGGAAGAGAAAGGGGAGCAGCTGTGGGGCAGTGAGGGTTGGTGAGTCCCATAAATATGGTTTGGAAGAGAAAGGGGAGCAGCTGTGGGGCAGTGAGGGTTGGTGAGTCCCATAAATATGGTTTGGAAGAGAAAGGGGAGCAGCTGTGGGGCAGTGAGGGTTGGTGAGTCCCATAAATATGGTTTGGAAGAGAAAGGGGAGCAGCTGTGGGGCAGTGAGGGTTGGTGAGTCCCATAAATATGGTTTGGAAGAGAAAGGTGACAGCTATGGGGCAGCGAGGGTTGGTGGATCCCATAAATAGGGTTTGGAAGAGAAAGGAGAGCAGTTTTGGGGCAGCGAGGGTTGGTGGACCCCGCAAATATGGTTTGGAAGAGAAAGGGGAGCAGCTGTGGGGCAGCGAGGGTTGGTGGGACCCCCGGCGCAGGCAGGGGAAGGGCAACCTGCAAACATCTCCTGTGTGTTCAGGCAGGCGAAGGATCCCTCAGGGATGTGCCGAGAGCTGCTCGCCGGGCTGAGGGACCATCTCAGCCTGGGCAAAGTCCTACATAGGATAGAAAACCCGCGGCACTACGGCATCGGCATTTTCTCTTGCGCTAAGACCAGAGCAATCCAGAGAGGACCAGAAAAGTCAGCGGCGCTAAGTGCTGATGATCTCGGAGAAACAAGACTTAACAGCGGGGCAGGCACGCAAGAGTTTGTCATGTTTAAATATTCATCGCCACTCTGCAGAAGCAAACGGCTGAAGATGCGCCTAATGGGTTTTAAACCGCGTCGGGGAGGACATTTAATGCAGCAGACAACAAATGGCTGCGCAGGGGCGGGAGAAGGACCCGAGCTGCGAGGACGGCCGTGATGCGGGGCAGCGGGTGCTCCCAACCTTCCCGCGGGAACCAGCGGGGACGGACTCGGGCACCACTTACGCGGCCAAAAGAAATTAAAGTGAAACACAAAGGAGGTCAGAAAGTGCCTCCAGAATGAAGCACTGACTCGGCTCCGTGGGGAAATCATGTGCCTTAAAGGGCTGAATACTAAATTAAGGCTAATTTTAATGGTATAAAAGAGACAAGAAAAGCAGCCAAGCTACAGATGAAAGAAAACATAATTAAAATCAGGGTGAAATATTAGAAGTCATTTTCTTCCCTTACGAATGCACAGGTAACTAAAGGTATGGCATCATTTGAGTTTTTACGGGTTGACTTGCAAAGCTCGTCCTCTGCTGCGAGCCCTCACCGTGGAGGGAAGATGCCCGAGGAGACCCGGGAGGGGATTAACGCATTTCAAAGTGTCCCGTCCCGCGTTAGCGCATCCCTCCAGCTGCTCGCTGCCTCCCGCCACGCGTTCCAGGAGGGCTGTTAGTTTGCAGTTTCATCCCAGTCTCAGAAATAAGAGAGGATTTTTTTTTGGTGGGGGGGAAACGAAACCAAAACCCCACAAAAATTCAGGGAGCGCGTGAGCTGTCTCCCGGCCACAAATTAACCTCGTCTCTTCTAGAAGGTGACATCTTGGGAGACGTTTCTGTCCGCCTCCAGCGACCACCCTGCCCTTCCTGGCCCCTATTTTTATTTTTGTGTTGTCTGAACACGAGGAAGAAAATAAGAGACTGTGGTCCCCAGAGCGCATCTCTGCTGCTGGCCACCGAGGTTAATGACTTAATCCCCTGTGACTTCAGCCATCTGCTCCAGCATCACGCATGTGTCATCCCGGCAATAAGCAGCCAAATTAAAATGCAATCCTGCTCGATAGCTGGTCCTCTCGGAGGAAAGGTGAGGGAGCCGTGAACCCACGGGGAGACGGCCAAACCACGGCGCTTTTAGAGGGGACCGGAGAGATGGGAATAGCTGCACCCAAGTGGGGGCACGGCCAGATCTGGGAGCGATGTGTCACATCACCCCCGGGGGGAATTTGGCTCCGCGCCGCCAGGCGCTCTCCAGAAACGGCAATTTCTAACTTTGGCTGGTTTAAGATATTTCCTTCCATGCCGAGAGCACGATGGACCTCATTAGGCAGCAGAGCAGACTTGGTGGGTTATTGATGGCGGCCAATTATAGGTGCATGATGGAGCCAATTAGCGCCTGCAGGTGCTCCCATGTCAGCTGAGAGGAACGGGCTCCTCGTGCACCGCAGCTGCAGTGTCACCACCACCACCAGAGCATCACCACCACCACCACCACCAGAGCATCACCACCACGACCACCACCACCACCAGAGCATCACCACCGCTGGAGATGGCACAGAACCACCGCAGGGAAGCCCTGCACACAAGCCCAGGCCAAGCAGAGAGGGAGAAGGGACAAGAGCGGATCCATCTTCAGGTCCACTTCACCCTCTGAGCCCTTTGCCCCAAACCGGCCCGAAGGATTATCCCAATCCCCAGGCAGCTGTAAAGCCCCTCATCAACTCACACCCAACCTGCTCTCGCTGTATCGCTCTTTAAGATTATTTCAGCTCTTATTAACCTTCTCTGTGCTACGAGACAATGACCCAGCCAAAAAAAAAACCAACCCAACCCCAAACAAACCACACACCAAAGCGTCCCTTGTCCTACAATCCTCATCAGCATCCAGACCACGTATCCCGCAGGCCTCCGTCCACCCCCGGTGCTAAAAATACTCTTTCGCTAGATGAATTTGAGCTGGATTTGACACGAAGCCCTGTTCCACAAACATCATCTCAACAGGCGGCATCGATCTGTTCCCACCCTGCCCCGGCCGATGGATGGCGGATGTGGGAGAGGGGACACCGGAGGGCAGGAGGAGACGGATGGGCACTAAATCAGGAGGGACTTCAAGGCGCGGGGAGGTCCGTGGGCAGCCAGCGCCCAGCTGCAGGCTTCACCATCGCTCAGGTGTCACCTGTGAAGCCCAAATCCACCTCAAACACATCCACTTATTACAACTCCAAGTATTTACGTGTGTTCCCCCTTGGGAAGGCGCATTCGCTTCACATAAGCTACTCCTTATGTTCACCCAAACCAGGTTTTTAACGGGTTTTCCTTCTTTTCCCCTGACAGGAGTAGAAAATCCCAGAAAAAAAAAAATCAGGCTTTTCAGGGGCACCTCCTCAGAGCAGCCTGCGCGAGTGAGGAACGCCGCCACAAGCATCGCGTCCCGCCTGGCAAACCCGGATTATTCTGTAACATAAGGAGCTATTCTGGATAACGGCCGAGCAGCTCCTGCACGGGCGGCGCTGTACGAGACCGATATAGACGCTGTCCCATATTTTTCTGTAGCTGCGCGTCCTCCAGCTCCTGTGGCGCAAGCCAACACACACAAAGGAGTTGGCAAGGCTGCGGCTGCGCCCACGCGCCGGAGGGGACTCAGCTGAGCCTGCCCCTGCTCCGCTCCCGCTACGGCACCGCGGCCTCCGCCCCGAGCATCTGTGTGAGTGAGGATGAGACACCTCCTGCGGCACGGGCTAACGAAGCTGGGGGGGGGAAAAAGGGAGAGTTCGGGCAGGTCGGCCAAACGGCT